AAGTTGACTTGGGTTTCTTGCTTGAGTCATGTGGAATCAGCAGTTCTACAACATGGTCTCTACAAAATACTTCCACCTGGACTGATGGGGTCCTCAGGTTGCTGATGAATGGGTGGTGCTCCTACATTTTACCAAAATTACTAACTTCCATCACATCAAATTCTGCAATTCTAACGTTTAAAGAGTACTTTTATCACCATGTGCCAATTTTAATATTAGCAGCCTAGGTGCATTGTTTGTGGCATCTTTTAAAAATGAGTATCATCCAAGGAAAACTAAACTTTATGTTACATTTTTTAAAAAGGCAAAAATAAAGTAATGTTGCGAACCAGGGTCTTTAACCATTTTTAGGCTGAGGGCCATACTAATCCATGGAGACCAAATGTCAAAGTGGATGTGGCCAAAGTGAAAAAGTGAGTGTCGGTAAAATGTAAAAGGAAGTGAGCCTTCCCCCTTTTTAAGGACAGTTCCGGAGGTTCCTGGGGGTCAGGAAAAAAAACTTTTCATGCCATGCAATCACAGCAGGGGGGCTGTGGGAATGATGGGGGAAGGAATTTGGGACAAATTTTTGAGAGGTCATGAAACCTTCTGGCATTACAGTATCGCAGGAAGCAGTCAGTTTAAAACAGGTTTTGGGGAATTTTTTTTTTTAAATGTTAACTTTGGAGGACCACATTAAACCTTTTGACACATCACAGCAAGGATCCACAGGAGAGTTTTTTAAAAAATTAAACTGCAAATTATGGGATGGTCAAAAAACCCTATTAGGAGCCTGCATACAGCCCACAAGTTAGCAACACCTGTTGATAACATTTCATTGAAACTGGCCAATCAAATGCAATGCTTTGCAAAATTCAAAAATCAGTGCAAATGTGAAACTGCTCAAAAAATAAAATATTGCACTAGAGTGCTATAATGATATGTGGTCTGTTGAATAATATAGTTGGTATAACAAGGCCTAGCAGCTTTTAGTTGCTTTATTTGCTGTAACCAAATTCTTGATGGCTTGACAACTTAAGGATCCCAGGCAACCCACAAGGAAACAATGGCTCTTAGAAGTGTGGGAGATTCTTGTCATGAAAAAATTGACATTTCAAATTAAGCTAGATAGACAGTCTACCAGAAAATAATCATTTTAGGAAAATGTGGCATCCACTCATCATGTATTTTGGAGAGTTATGTTAGCTCTTAGCTCTGTTGAAATATGTGTATATACACCTATAATGATGAGCAATGAATGATATCAATTCTCTTAAATGGCTATGGGCTGTTTACTTGCTTTGAACCCAGAGTTAGGTGTTCATGTTAAACATGATATAATGTACTGCTTTACTGACAATCTCAAATAGAGAGAATGATAAAATGGCTAAGATGCCAATTTTACACTGATCGCCTTCATTCAATTTTGAAAGGTAATGGCACTCTTTGACCCTAGTAAAGTATAATCTCTTCAAACCGAGTAGACAGAGCAGTTTCCAAATTGCACAACATCACCCCTTGCAAACTAAGGTTTTAATGGCAATATTCCTATTTCGAAAATGCATAGTGTTCCAACATACCTGTGTCAAACCATTTTTCCCATGCACCTGTTGAAGGGTAGTACTTTCTCATCCTGTTGCATGCTTATGACTTTCTATATGGTTTCTCAGTGGAGGGGCCATGGTGAACATCCAATGATGTCAACATGCAGTGGGACATCTCCCCCCCCCCCCCGCAGCTCCCTATGCACCTTGCAAATACACTCCTGTGAGTTGGGGAACCCCCTGAGCATATTGCAGGGTGCAGGTGCTTTCAAGGTGGGAAAAGAAGAAGGAATGAACTGCTTTTGTCACAATGGATATCACCTCATACTTTTTCTTTACCCAGTGGTGTGCAGGATACTCTTTAAATAATAGTCTAAATATTAACTTTCAATCCTTGCAGGCTTTGACTGAATTCTAAAGAATTCATAGCTGGTTGATATTGGGGGGGGGGGGACCTGTCTTCTGAAAGGTTTGCAGCTGATCTTAAATTAGAGAATCCTTTTGTGAAAGAAGGGACGTGGGTGGCGCTGTGGGTAAAAGCCTCAGCGCCTAGGGCTTGCCGATCGAAAGGTCGGCGGTTCGAATCCCCGCGGCGGGGTGCGCTCCCGTTGTTCGGTCCCAGCGCCTGCCAACCTAGCAGTTCGAAAGCACTCCCGGGTGCAAGTAGATAAATAGGGACCGCTTACTGGCGGGAAGGTAAACGGCGTTTCCGTGTGCTGCGCTGGCTCGCCAGAGCAGCGATGTCACGCTGGCCACGTGACCCGGAAGTGTCTCCGGACAGCGCTGGCCCCCGGCCTCTTGAGTGAGATGGGCGCACAACCCTAGAGTCTGTCAAGACTGGCCCGTACGGGCAGGGGTACCTTTACCTTTTTTTACCTTTGTGAAAGAAAGAAATAACATCCCAACTCTACATTTGTAGTTGAGGTTTTCTTCTTCTTTAGATATTATTCTGAAGCATCCAATAATCATCTCCAATACATGAAAAGAGAGAAGTAAAGTTCAGTATTTTTCAATTCTCTATTAAGTTGTATTCAAATTGCAGAATTATGAGAGCTCTTAAAAGTGTGTCCTTCTATCATCATCTGATCTACTGCTACATAGACCAAAGCAGTCAGAATGATAAAGAGATTATTTACACAAAAACCCTAAGCAAAACCCCAGTTTATGAAATTTTAGTAGTAATTACATTACCTAATTGTTCCTCTAATCACTTAGACATGACTTGAAGAGGTATCAGTTTAAATGTATATAATTTATCAAAAACGTGTTACTTTGGACTGTATCCAAGTACATTATATTTAAGAGTACAACCACTGAAGTAAATGGACCTAAATTAGCAATGTCAATCCAAGGGTTTACTCTGAACAGGACTAACATTGGACATAGTTCCTCTATCTTTTTAACGGTTATATCATATATGGGGTGAAAACCCCAGTTTTCTTGCAAAGACAAAAACTATGTTTAACAAAAACAAACAAAAGCACTGCCTCACATTTTCACATTCAGGGCAAGATGTGTTATAATAAATAGCCAGCCACAAGTGTTTGTTCAATACTGGTAAACTAGTTCTGCATACAGATTTTAATAGAAGCCCCAGCCTGAATGAACCCTTCTCAAAGTTAAGTAAATATCAAGGCTACAACCCTGCACAAAGTTGCACATCTGCCAGTCCTACTGAAGTCTGAGGAACCTATTTGTGGATAACTCTGGCAGAACCGCAGCCAGCATTTGTGTAAAAAAACAAGCTCTCCCAACTCTCTATTCTGAAAAGGAAGAAAGCCTTTTCCCAAATCTCTACCGACAGTTCAACATTTATCTGTCCCACAAAAAGCAATTGTTATTGAAGATTAAAATCCAAAAAGACTGAGGTCCTTCAAACTAGTAACAACAGTTAACCTAGAAAATACTAGTTTCATAACAAAGATAACCAACAGAAAGGATATTGTAGCTTTAAAACTCTATAAAGGTCTCTCTCTTTTTTGTAGACACTTATAAAAAACATGGTGGAATGTTATCCAACATAACTGGACCCCAATCTTCTAAAAATGACACAGAGCAAGAAAGCCTCACAAAAATTGTCTTGAAACGGAACTATGTATTGAATTCACATATTTTAGCCCCATTGTTATGTTGAAAATGAATACAATCTTACATTTTAGGAAAACTTTAAATCTAAAACTGAATTTTCATCTACAGTATGTGTCTCAACTTGTAAATGAAAGCTTTGATGATCTCTCTTATGCCCCACAAGCACTTACTCCAAAATATTGTTTACATGGAATGTAACCAGACTAAAGAGGGAATGGGATAGTGGATTCAATTGTGGTAGGTAGCAGATAGCCACAGATCTGGCAATACTGCTTTCAGATATTGGATTACAATTATATTTATGTAGGCCACCATTTAAGTCTGGATCTGAATGTTTCTGACCTTTCCACAACCATTTCTGAAAGAAAGCAAATGTATTTGGGCCACGTTTTAGCAACAACTGAGTTGGCCATTTTCAATGTATTTCTTTATGAGAACACTTTGAACTTATTCCCATACAAGCATAAATATAAAAACCTCTGGGTTGGAATTGTTCAATCACACAAATTTTTAGAGACAATCTCTGGACAGATAGCCAGAACTACTGCTGACAAACTTTTCCTCAGAAAGTCATAGCGGTGACCAATTCCAATGCAAGATCTTCCATTCATGCATCTCTACTGAAATCATTCCACATGAACTCCCAAGGAGAAATACACAATGCTAGAAGAAGCAGGAAGTGTGTAGATGATGTTCAAGTATCTCTATAGCTTAGAAGTAAGTGTATTTCTGGGTCCATAGTGGCACCCCAGTTTTATCTTCCTAGTCATGATGAGCTTGACTCTTAGTAAATACCCCTTGGTGCCCACTTAGCAATGCTCTCCTTATGACAAGGTATGTACCTTAATATACAACTATTTACAAATAAATGAGCCCAAACAGTATACTGCAAAATCCTTATCACATAGGCAGATGAGCTAGGCCAAGTTATGTATCCAAACAGTAGTTGTAGGAAGTAGACAGTTTGTGCGGGCATGTCTCAGTTCCGTAATTCAGTACCTGAAAAAGTAATGTATTTGGGCCTATACTGGAAGCGAGGGAAGGGAGGTTTAAGATTGCTCTGCATCTGGAAACTGATGCATTTCACGTTCTGACAGTCTTGTGCAGCCTGATGCTCTACTTACTCAGAAGTAAATTCCACTGAGATTAATGGAATTTACTCTCATGTAAGTGTGCACAAGCCTGCAGCCATAATCTATGTTTCTGACAGTCTGTCTCTAAGGAGACTGGAGTCCCCTGCTGAACAGGAAAAATAAGCTAGATATCTCTGTTCTGCATATCTATTTACAGGCTCTTCAGATTCAGGGCATGTGGGTCTCTGTGAGACTTACTCTTGCGGCAACAATTCTGAAAGAGGAAGGGGGAAAGTCCTGCAGGAGATTTACCTACCCATCTATATCAAAATGCAACATTCAGAGCAGGACAAAATTGCCTGTTAGGTGTTGAAGATGCCTGTTCATAGGGATCTGTCAATCCCTTTGTCTCTAATGTTTGCCCGGCTGTCTTCAGGAATCCTAGGGATCCCTTGCTGGAACAGGAAGCAACCAGAGTTGGGGCTGGCCACTTCTGAATCAGGCTGTCAATCGCAGGGTTAGGTAGTTCAAGGGGCTGATGGCAAGGGGTCATCCTATGTAGTCATGACTGTCCCAGTGTCAAGCACCTGAAGGGTAGCCTATGTGACTTCTTTTTTTTTTTTTTAAACCAACCCTCAAGGTTATAAAAACTGCAAAGAGGGGAGAGGAAGAAATCACTGTGGGCCAAAGGTTTAGGAATGTGCATTTCTGTAGATCGGTCATCCCTGCAAGTCCCTTTGTCTGCCAGGCTCTCTTCTCCTTTTTTTTTTTTTTTAAGGAGGCCACCTTGGAAGAAAAAGAAGAAGAAGGGGGGTAGGGGAGTTGGGAAGCCTCCCTGGGGAGATCTGCCCGCCCCCCCCGTTCTCCCCACAGCCCCCTTCCTCCTTTGTTTGCCTATATCTTGTCTCCTTTGCTGACCTACGAAGGGCTCGGAGGGCTACCGGAGCCCCAGCGAGGCCTGCTCGCTCGCTCGCCCGAAATCCCGGCTCTCCTCCTGGCGAGCAGTTGCAAGGCCCCGTGCAAGCGGGATCTGGAAAGGAGGCGGGGGGGGGGACACGACGGAGCCCGGACTCTCCCCTCCCCTCAGCCCCCTTTCGCCTCACGCACTTCGCACCGCCACCCACCCACCCGCTCCAGGCCCGAAGCGTCTCCCTCCGCCCGCCCCTCCCTGGCGGGGCCGCCACACAGCTCAGGCGAGGAGGCCCCACCAAGGAGCCCGGGCCCGCCTCCCGTCCCCTCCGCGGCTGGATTCTTACCGGCGGCCCGAAGCTGGGGAAAGAGTAGGGCGGCGGCGGCGGCGCGATGACGACGACGGTGGCAGAGGAAGGCGAGGGCGGCGGGGGAAGAAGAGGTGATAGGGGGCTCAGAGCCCCCAGGCCGCGGCTCCGGCTCCTGCCCCGGGCACCATGATGGCGGCGGCAGCAGCAAGCAGCAGCAGCAGCAGCAGCGATGGCTCCCTTCCTGCAAGAAGCTGCTGCAGCGGCGGCGGGCGGCAGGCCGGTCGGGGAAAGCGCAGCCGCCTCAGCCTCCTACTGGCGGTGACAGCGACGGGCCGAGAGAGAGAGCGAGCGAGCGAGAGCGCCGCCGCGGTGCAGCTTGGGAAATCGCCCGCAGGATCCGAACCCGCCACCAGAAGCAGGGCTGCTGCTCTCTCCCCCTGAAGGGAAGGTGGGTGAAAGAGCGAGAGTAGTAACAGAGAAGAGGGAGGGGAAGGGGAAGGCTTCGGAGGTCTCAGCCCCAGGACTTGTTTCTGGGTGCTGGGGACTCTGAGCGTGCGCCCCTCCATCCCAAATCTCTGAGTGAACTGCAGCCACCAGCATCAAGGACTAATTCGATTAATCGGTGTGGTTTCTAGGCCAGCTTGGACTTCTGACTTTAAATTCAGCACTTGGAGATCAAGGAGGTGGAGAGAGAAGCGAAGGGGGCCTACCTAAAAAGTGCAGAGGAGAGTGCAGGAAGGGAGTACATGCTACAACTGCATTGGGGTGAACAAGGTTAAAGGGTTTTTGGTAGTCCTATCTTGGGTTATTCCACACACCCAATGTCCCCAAACTGACAAGAAAACCGTAGATGGAACATGGTAAGGCAAACAAAAAAAGTGCACCAGCATCATCATGCAAGAGTTGGCCAGAAATAATTTATAATTTATAAAAAGAGAAAGCCACAGTTGCAGAGCCACATCTGAAAAGGCCCTGTTGCCAATGCCCACCAATCTGGTCTTCGCTAACCGTAAGCCAGAAAGCAAAACCTGTTACTGATCTAATGGATCAGGTAGGTTCATCTCAATACAGTAGTGACTAGACAGCTGGTAGTTTCCCCTTCTAGGTTGAATTCAGATGTGTTGCAGTGAGATTTTGGCCTCCCAGCACCTGCATAATCCCTACAGCATGCTTAGATCATGCTGCTAGAGCTACTCTCCAGAAGTTTGTCACTACAACTCCCATCAGCTCCGCCCAGCATTGCCTTTGTTCCTGGATGGTTGAGTTGCAGTCTAATACATCTGGTGGATACCAAGTTGGGGAAAGCTGCATTACAAAGCTGAAGAGACAACATATTAAAAAAAATGCCTACAATCTATACTCGTGGCATTTTTGCAGGTATTAAAAAATATATACCAGCCCATCTATGCACATATACATTGAGTGGTGACTCTGACAGGCAATTTGCCCACAACTGTTACTCATCCTAAGCAAGCAGCTAACAATAAGATACTTGGACTGCAATCCTAAAAACATACGCACACACAAATTGCACTTCTCATATGGGGTACTTCCTAACTGGTGGCTCTTAACGCTACCCAGTAGTCCTTCCACTGTTAGATATATGCAGAATTGCAATTGACTTTTCACATTTTTGGGTAAAAAGTGTTGTGTGTTTCATCTACACTACTAAGTGTGATGCAGCTTTATGGGCAGGGAAGGGGCAATTCACCTGAGCACAGCATTTTTTGATTATCTGTTTCCAAACATTAAAAAAAATCATACCAAAGCACGTTTTCCATTTCAGGGGCACTGCACAATTACTTCAGTTATGTTAAAAAGTAGATGAAAAGGGTAAAATGGAAAAATAATAATAAACACAGTGATAAAATGGCACAGACTGAAACGGCAGTTTGGGCTTTTAAAAATCATTTTGTACATTTGAGTTAAGACATTTTTTCATTTGTGTGCTGTTGCTCAATTTCTTTTTTTTTTTTTAAGTAGTCAAAAATACAAATTAAATATTGCCAAAAAGCTGTGCAAATGAAATGGCCCCAACCAGAAAGGTAATAAGTAAAATTAGTGCTAGACTGGGACCTAGGAGACTGGGGTTCGAATCCCTACTCACCAATGAAGCTTACTGTGTGACCTTGGGCCAGTCACACCCAGCCTAAACTACCTCACAGGATTGTTATGAGGATAAAATGGGGAGGTAGATAACAATGTACACTACTTTGAGGGAGGAAAGATGAGATCTAAATGTACCGGTAATTATAAAGAAATAATATCACTAACACATCAAGGCCACTTTACATGCCTCTTAACACAGATGGGAAATATTGGATATTGCAGTGCTGTGCTGATGCTTCCACAGCAGTCTAATTTTCTGGGTAGACTGATGAAACACAGGAGAGCAACAGTTGATGAGAATGTAATAAAGATGCCATCTTTTCCATAGGAAACAGTGTGGATGCACTTATAGACAGCATTTTATACTCTCCACATCCATGAGTATTGGGAGGTTCCAGGGCAGACTTTTATTTGATGATGTTCCTTCTGAGGAGAGTGTACTGGAGACAAAGAGAAGAGACACATGAATATGCAAATAATAGTATACTCAAGTGTAATATACTTTTTATAGAATGTTCCACTTTTTACAGGCGCTGCCTCTTTGCTGACAAATGGTGTTCTGCTTCCAGCTTCTTTCCTTTGTTGCATCTTTTAAAAAGGAATTTAGATTCCTCAGAGCCAAGCTAGACATAAGGAGAAAAGATGTTTAAACAGAGATGTTTAAGCCTGCATCTGTCCCAATCACACTGGTTGTAGGGTTGGTGGATAATAAGCTATGGGGCAGTGGGAGAAAAAGTGTTAGCGTCTCCCAGCCCATGTTATCCTTTTTCAGTTAATACCAGACTCTCATTTTCTACATGACTGGGACAGATCTGGGTTTAAGTACACAGCCTGCCACCATCATGACTAGTTTTGCCTCTAATGAGAAATAGAATGAAAGGCCTCCAGCACAACAAAAGCCACTCCTTTTTCCGAAGCTGCATCATCTGGAATCCTTTCTCAAATTTGTTTGGCAGCCTGTAGTTAGTTAAATTGCAGGGAAATTATGGTGAAGGCACTGGAACAAATGTCAGCAGGTCTGTGATGTTTCTGATACTTCCACAGCTCTCCCACACTCCCAAGATCTTCAGCAACATACTACCATGGTAGTGCCGTTGTGCTGAGATTATCATCTCTCAAGACTTTGTGTATCGCTGAATAAACTTGATTAATCAGTAGTGATGGCCAGTTGATATTCCTGGAGTTGCCTGCCTGTCACACTGTGTGCCAGGATTGCACCCTTTTGCAGTTTGTAGACCACAAAACTGAAATACTAGTAATTAATGAGCACCAAATTAAACTATTTCATAAACTGTTGGGCCTGAACTATTCTCTCACATGGAAATGAACTAATACAATCAATTTATAAACATTTCACAGGAATCACAGAATAAATATCCACAAATATTTTAATATAATTTTATGAAATACGATCTAAAGGTATTTACTTAGGCTGCAATCCTGAGCAGAGTTACAGAGGGAACAGGCACAAAGGTGTTCTCTTGAGTTTCCACGAAATGTTCTTCAAATGTCAGCACTTTGAATTGTGCCCAGAAATAAACAGGTAGCTTATTCAGCTATTGTAACATGTGCTGTCTATGACAGGCTCTGGTCAATAGTCTGGCTACAGCATTCTGAAGCAGCTGAGGTTTTCAAACACTCTTCAAATACAGAACCAGTGGTTACAGCTGTCCTAACAATATAACCAAGGCATGTGTTGCCATGGCTAGATCTGACATCTAAGAATGGAAACAGTAGTCATACCTGGGCAAATGCTCCTGGTCACGGTTCAAAACTGGTTTTACAAGTTCCGGGCTGAATCGAAAAATGCATCCAAATTATGACTGGGGGAACCTCTTTCTTTTGCAGATTGAAATTCAATTTATTTGCCCTCACCACGCCCATTAGCAATGTTGGGTTTGGACTTAGAATTTGAACAACTTCATTGAAATTAGATGGAAACAAGATATAGAGTAGGGTGTCATCTGCATATTGGTGATCCTGAACCCTCCAGACCTGGATAATCTCACCCAGTGGTTTTATGTAGAAGTTAAATACCATGGAGGACAAGTTGAAACTTGAGGGACACCATAGGTCAGTAGCCAAGGCACTAAACAGGAGTTGCCCCAGCACCATTTTCAGGAACTGCCCCACCAAGTAGGACCAGAACCACCATAAAACAGGCTCCAAAGTTTCATCACAGCCATCCGGTCCAGAAACATAGCATGTGATGGTATGCAAAGCTACAAAGAGGTTGAGTAGAATCAACAGTGACTGTGACATACTGCCTCCGTCCA